CTCCTCCTCCTCCTCCTCCTCCTCCTCCTCCTCCTCCTCCTCCTCCTCTTCTTTTTGAAATGGACCATTTCAAGCTGTTGCGAATACAAAAGGTCCAAGAGGTGGGGCCTATGTCTCAAAATCCCACTGCCTCTGTCTCAAGCGGCTCTTTGGATCCTAGCCCCTGTCTTCTCCCCAGCCTTTTAAAAAATTGCTTCCATACCAGACTTCTCTTGATTATTCTTCCAAACACCCTCTGTCTCTCTCTGTTTTCAAGGCTTCCAGCTTTTATCCATGTGAGCCGGCTTGGGTCAACAACACAGTCGGCTCCTGCCATGAGCGGAGGCCTTTATGCCTGCCAGGAATAGGAATCTGGCTTGTGGAATGCAGCCCGCTCTGAAAGGAAGGGACTCTGCTTAAAAACAAAGTGCAGCTGGGATTTTATTTATTTTTTATTTATTCTTTAGATTTGTATCCCGCCCTCCCCGAAGGCTCAGGGCGGCATGGTTGCGTTTGTGCGCGTTTGGTGCCTTGTTTTATTTATTTATTTGGATTTCTATCCCGCTCCGGCTCTGGTTGAGGATGGCTGGACGCTCTTTAGGCCTGGGGCTCCCAGTAAGGGTCGAACTCCTGAGCGCAATGCTCTCCGGGGGACATGCCAGGAGAGGCGGTCCCGTAGGTACGTTGGTCCCTGGCCGTTTAGGGCCTTAAAGGTCAAGACCAAATCCTTGAGCCCGACCTGGTACTCAGGGTGTCTGTTGTGGGGAGGAGAAGGGAAAGGAGTTTGTAAGCTGCTCTGAGACACCTTTGGGTAGTGAAGGGCGGGGTATAAATCCAATCTCTTCTTTTACCTCACAGGGTGTCTGTTGTGGGGAGGGAAAGGGAAAGGAGTTTGTAAGCTGCTCTGAGACTCCTTCAAGTAGTAGAAGAAGAGATTGGATTTATACCCCTCCCTTCACTCGGAGTCTCAGAGCGGCTTACAAACTCCTTTCCCTTCCCCTCCCCACAGCAGACACCCTGTGAGGTAGAAGAAGAAGAAGAAGAGATTGGATTTATACCCTGCCCTTCACTACCCAAAGGTGTCTCGGAGCGGCTGACAAACTCCTTTCCCTTCCTCTTCCCCACAAGCAGACACCCTGTGAGGTAGTTGGGGCTGAGCGAGCTCTCTCGAGGACTGCCCTTGAGAGAACAGCTCTGACAGATGTTTGGCTTGCCCAAGGTCATCCAGCAGCTGCGAGTGGAGGAGTGGGGAATCAAACCTGGTTCCTCCCAGATTAGAGTCCGCGCACTCAGCCACGACACCAAAGTGAAGGGTGGGGTATAAATCCAATCTCTTCTTCTGCTTCTTAGCTGGAGATACTGGGGCTTGAAGCTGGCACCTTTGCATGCCGAACGGATGCTCTGTCACAAGCAGGCGGTCTATACTGCAGATGAGTAGAGGTGGTTGGCCGTTGCCGTCCTCTGCGGAGCAACCCTGGTCTTCCTTGGCAGGTCTCCCAGCCAAAGACGAAGCAGGGCTGACCCTGCTTAGCTTCCAAGATCTTTTTTTAAAAAATAATTAAATACTTTATTGTTTTAATTTGTCAATACAGAAATTAATATCAGAAAAGCTTCAAATGGTTAAAAGTACCTCAGCAGGGCTTTTTTTGTAGAAAAGGCCCAGCAGGAACTCATTAGCATAATAGGCCACACCCAACAGCAGAAACTCATTAGCACATTAGGCCACACCCCATGACAGTCCAGCTCATTAGTATATTAGGCCACACCCACATGCCTTTCCTTGGCTTGGTCGGGTGCCCCGCGGCTGTGGGGAGCCTGGGCAAGCTGGCCCTTGGACAGGCTGGGGAAGGCACGGGGAGGTATTTAAATGACTCCCCGATCCTTCCAGCCCCCCATGGCCCGCCTGTCTCGAGTCGCCGGGGGTGGGGGGGTCGCTCTCCAGGCCTTCCCTCTGTAGCCACGCCACAGACGCACAGGTTTTCGCTGTAGTGGGCGTGGCCAACTCTGAGGCCAGCCGGAACTCCGTTCCTGTGCGTTCCTGCCCAAAAATAGCCCTGTACCTCAGAATACAATATTCTGAAACTATGTCAGTGTGCTTTATACAGAAAGATCCTCTATTAAGCATAAAATCATTATCCTAATGAGTTAGGAAAGTATTTCATCACCTGTTAGCCGACATTCTCATAGTAAATTTCACATCACAAGCTCAGACTAGTGTAGCTCTTCAAGCCGCTGGACGCTGATGGTGCTTTGTGACCTGAGTGGAATTGGTCTACATTTTTAAATAAGACCTTCTGAAGCGCGGGGGTTTAGTTATTTTGTCGTCCTTGCGGACATTTCAAACATAGACATGTGCTTGGCAGTGCCCCCTCTAAGCTGTGGAGTCTTGTGAGCAAAAAGTCTACTTTGTGAGCGACTGGCACTAAAGTTGTGAGCGAGCCATTTGGCTGCTGCATCAATTAGTCTGCTCTGGAGCCACCCCGAGCGAAGACAAAAATGTGCGAGCCGGAGGCTGAGAAGCGGTGAGCCGGCTCACACTGTCGCAGCTTAGAGGGAACACTGGCGCTTGGCCCTGAAGCCGACCGGGACGCGCTGAGGATTTGCTTGGCTTTTGTTGGCATTAGGAGGAAGGGGACAGCGACGATGGCGAGATCCCAGAATTCCTGGAACCGGTTCTGGAGTTGAACAGGCGAGGGGAAACGAGGTCTCTGCAATACAACGGCCCGCCCTTTCCACCGGTCGCTTCCGCTCCTCAGACCTCTGCAGACGTTCTGGATGAAATCATAGAAAGACGGGAAACCCTGGAAAACAAGCTGGTTAGTTGGTGAGTTCTTGGAGTGGCGACTGGGAAGGTGGTGGTGAACTTCAGAGGAGGAAAAACACAGGAGTGCCCCCCCCCTCCCCCGGGAGACTTTTCTGCAACGTTCTGGAGCTGTTTCTGCTGTAGCTTCGTTGACATACGTGAAAAGAGCAAGAGTCCAGGAGCACCTTAAAGGCTAATAAAATGTGTGGCAGGGAGTCACAGCTCACTTCTTCATATACAGCTAGAATGAAGCGAAGAAGTAATTAATTAATTATCATGTGGCGTTGTGTGTAGAATAGCCAGGAGATCCTAAGATTGTCTGGCAGCTGGAAGTTCTAGCTCCTTTAGTGTTATGCACCACTAGGGGGCGAGCTAGGCTTGTTTTTAGGCAGGATATGTTTCAGCGGTGGCTTGCCATTGCCTGCCTCTGTGTCACGACCCTGGTATTCGTTGGAGGTCACCCGCCCAAATACTAGGCAAGGTGGACCCCTGCTTAGCTTCCAGGATCTGACGAGATCGGGCTAGCCTGGGCTATTCAGGTCAGGGCAGACCCACTGCTGCCTGATCTCTATCTCTAATAGGGTTGCCAAACCCCTGCCTACCTTCTGTTCTTGTTTCATATAATAATAATAAGAACAGATTGGATTTATACCTCCCCTTCAGTACCCAAAAGGAGTCTCAGAGCGGCTTGCAATCTCCTTTCCCTTCCCACAACAGACACCCCGTGAGGTAGGTGGGGCTGAGAGAGCTCTCTCGAGGACTGCTCGTGAGAGAACAGCTCTGAAAGAACTTGTGACTGACCCAAGGTCACACCAGCAGCTGCATTTAGTGCCTCACCCTCCTCTTCCCCAGTGTAATTTTCAAATCACCCCTCTTCTCCCCTTCGCTCGGGCTTCCTCTGTGCGTATGTGTCTCCGCCTCCCGTAGCCGCCATGTTGTGTTTGGCTCTGCCTCCTTCGGCAGCCATTTTGTGGTTGCGCCTCCCCACCCCGAGTCAGACTTCCAGAGGTGCCCATAGGCTGGAAAAGGCCGGGGACCCCTGGACTAGACATTTGTGTCGAGCTCCGAAGCGACAGAGAGCCATCTAAAGAACCCTGCATGCTCCGGACAACCGAAACCTGTCCCCTCTCCTCTTTGGCATTCGTCGCGCTGCAGGGTATCGAAGTGACAATTAGGAATCCGCGTAATTCTTTTGCCAGGGTGGAGCAAGAGGTGATGGCCCGGGTCATCGGCGGGATGTACCCAGCCCAGAAGGTGGCCATTCCCGACGTCAGCTCCTCGGAGAGTGAAGAGAGCCGGGCTGCATCTTCGGACATCGGTGAGATAACGGCCGTCGGGTATTTCTCCCGTCTTTGTTCGTTCTCTTTCCCTCCCCAGTTCGACCGAACCGAGATTTCAACAGGCCGTGGAGTGCATCTAGGAAAGGAACGTCCCCAGCAGATTTTTTTATTATTATTATTTGCTTCATTTATAGCTCAATAGGGACCCAAAGTGCCTTCCTCTCCTCCGTTTTGTCCCCCCAACAGCTGTGAGGTAGACCAGGCTCTTTTTGTAGCAGGAACTCCTTTGCATGTTAGGCCACACCCCCTAATGTAGCCAATCCTCCAAGAGCTTACAGAGCTCTTCTTACAGGAGCTACTGTAAGGTCTTGGAGGATTGGCTACATTAGGGGTGTGTCACTTAATATGCAAATGAGTACCTGCTACAAAAAGAGCCCAGTCGACGGTGGGAAGTACGGAGGGGCCGCAGAGCCTTCCCACCTCCCCCTCGCTCCCGCAATCCCGTCCGGCTCCCGAGAAAGGAAATCCGCAGGGTTTCATTTGTTCACTTCATTTGTGCCCCCCTTCCCCCCCCCCCCCCCCCGTGGGGAGCCCAGGTGGCTCACCGCATTCTCCCCATCCGCCATTTTATCCTCCCCATAGCCCTGTGAAGTAGATGAGGCTGAGTGGGTGGGTGTGACTGGCCCAAGATCATAGAATCATAGAGTCGTAAAGGACCTCCAGGGTCATCTAGTCCAACCCCCTGCACAAGGCAGGAAATTCACAAATATCTCCCCCTCCACACACACACACACACACCCAGTGACCCCTGCTCCATGCCCAGAAGATGACCAAAAACCCCCCCAGGATCTCCAGCCAAATTGGCCTGGGGAAAAATGGCTTCCTGACCCCCAAAGTGCTGATCAGCATTTCCCTGGGCGTGTAAGGAAGGGCCACGAGAACTAAGCACTGAGGCAACCCTCCCTGCCCTCCCTTCTCGTGATCTGCCTCAGTTCACAGAATCAGCACTGCTGTCAGAGGGCCATATAGAAGAGAGAAGAAGAGATTGGACTTATACCCCGTCCTTCCCTACCCAAAGGTGTCTCAGAGTGGCTTACAAACTCCTTTCCCTTCCCCTCCCCACAACAGACACCCTGTGAGGTAGAAGAAGAAGAAGAAGAGATTGGATTTATACCTCTCCTTCAGTACCCAAAGGTGTCTCAGAGCGACTTACAAACTCCTTTCCCTTCCCCTCCCCACAACAGACACCCTGTGAGGCAGGTGGGGCTGAGGGAGCTCTTGACAGAAACTGCTCTTTTTCAAGAACAGCTCTTGTCAGAACTACGCCTTGCCCAAGGTCATCCAGCCAGGTGCGAGTGGAGGAGTGGGGAATCAAACCCGCTTCTTCCAGATCAGAGTCCACGCACTTAACCACTACTCCAAACTGCCTGTAACTAAATGGCTGCCTTTAACGAAATGGCTGCCAGGCAGAGATAGCAGGTTACTTTAAAATGGCTACCAGTCGGGTAGTCCTGTGGAGGGGGGAGGTGCTCCAGTTTGGTGTAGTGGTTAAGTGTGTGGACTCTAATCTGGGAGAACCGGGTTTGATTCCCCACTCCTCCACTTGCAACTGCTGATGTGACCTTGGATGAGTCACAAGCTCTGGCACAGCTGTCCTTAAAAAAGAGCAGTTTCTGTCAGAGCTCTCTCAGCCCCACCCACCTTATAGGGTGTCTGTTGTGGGGAGGGGAAGGGAAAGGAAAGGAGTTTGTAAACCGCTCTGAGACTCCAAGTGATGGGTGGGGTATAAATCCAATCTCTTCTTCTTCTCTTCTTCTTCTCCATAGGGAACAATGGGGCTGCCATATCTCCCGGCCTACATTTCCCAGCAGCTTTAGGGGAAAACAGCGGGAAAGTAGGGACCCACCCCAGGGGCGGAGCCAGCCAGATAAAGGCTTTGGCCCCTCCGGGGAAGCTTTTAGTCTCAGCCTAGTCTTGGCCTTTGGCTCATCTTGGGCGGCAGCTTCAAGGGAGCGTACAGGTGGGACTCCTGCTACTACACACTCCATGGCAATCCAGGCCACTAATAATCGTGGTGGAGAGCCAAGGAGAGTAGCAGAACTGGTGGCCAGTCCTGAGGAGGAGGGCTGGAGTTTCTCTCCACATCAACAAGGAGGGGGAAGGCAAATCCCATCACCTCCAGAGGCAGAGAGGGTGTGTGTAGGGACAGAGGAACCACGGTTTACTCCTGTTTATTTTCTGTGCCCGGTTGTGTTAATGTTTGTGCCTAACTTGTATATCGTTCAAATAAACCTTTTTGAGTTATAAGGCCTGGAAGTGCCTTGGCCACTTAGTCCTCCCCACTCAGCACGTTACCAGGGGCAAAAAGGAGGCCAGGAAAACCAAACGGACCCAACTCAGAGGGGCTGCCAACTCTCCAGGGGGCGCCCAAAGATTGCAGTACCCACTTCTCAATGTGGGGGGATCAGCCAGAGGGGGTTTCACTGTCCCTCTAGGAAGGCAGTGTGAATCCAGTGAGTGGTGGCAGCGAATGAAGAAGGGAAATAGCCCCACCAGGCAGGGTGGGCCGGCGAAAACGGGCTTGCGAGCCACAGAACGGCTGCTCAGTCTCCCAGGGCTGAGGGCAGGTCCCCGTTCCGTCACATGGCCTCTGCTTGAAAACCTCCAAAGGAGGAGAGCCCACCCCCTCCCAAGGAAGCCCGTTCCACTGAGGAACCGCTCCAACTGCCAGGAAGTTCTTCCTCATGTTTACAACAACAACAATAATACAGTCCACAGTAAACAATGGCAAAAAAACCAGCAAATAACAACTGTGTACTGCACAAACCCGCACCAAAGTTAACAAAAAGAGACTTCAACACAAAGGTAATTCAACACATGTAATCCATCATAGGAAAATACAAAAGTCCACAATATCCCAAAGGGAAAGAACAAAGTCCAGAATAGAAATTTCTCAAAGGGAAACAATGAAGTCCGAAACACTGAACAATACCTAGGAAAAGTGTTGATATCTATTCCAGACTTCATTTGTGTTGAAGTCTCTTTTTGTTAACTTTGGTGCGGGTTTGTGCAGTACACAGTTGTTATTTGCTGGTTTTTTTGGCCCTTCCTCATGTTTAGCCAAAAACGCTTCTGATTTCATTTCAACCCGTCGGTTCTGGTCCGACCTTCTGGGGCCACAGAAAGCAACTAACGATCTTCCGTGGCAGAAGTAGGGATTCGAATCTGGCCCTCCCAGACCCTTGCCCGACACGCTGGCCATGACACCACACTGCCTCTCGTTCTGAGAGCAGAACGTGTCCTCCGCTTGACCTAGAAATGTGTTCCGAGAGACTACGCAGCGTTTGGAGTGGACGGAGCCAAGGTGCTGTAACGCATTAAGCTGTTTTCGCAAGGAATGCTTACCTTGATATTTTTATTTTTTTGCAGTTTATCCTCGCAGCTGGGATTGCATTTGATTTTAAAATGACTCATGGGTTGTTTTGGCCGGTATCGAACATCCCTCCCTGTGTCTTGTGGCAGGGAATTCCATGAAGGAGTACTTCGTTGTTTCTTTATGTGGTTTTTCTATACCGTCTGGAGTTGCCCATGCTGGTTTCCAAGATGCTGGAAGGGGTGCTTATGGTGGTCTGTAGCTCTCTGCTTCTCCTATCTCTCTGCCCCCTGGCAGAAAATATCCCCCCCCCACCCCCGCATTGCTTCCCGGGCTCCTTTGAACACAGTATGGTTGAGCCGTGCATCTTCGCAGGGTTTCCCGAACTTTCGTGAGAGTTCGGGAAGACATGGAGTTGCCTTATATCGAATCGAACCTTATTTTTTTTAAAACTGCCCCTAAGGGCAGAATTGTATGAAGTTTTTCCCATCACAAAACAATACAGACTTAACATACAATCATTAACACATACATACAAAACATTAACATTGATGGGGGTAATAAATCTTCATAGTTATTATATTTCTTCTGCCGAAATGAGAGCCAGTTTGGTGTAGTGGATAAGTGCGCAGACTCTAATCTGGGAGAACCGGGTTTGATTCCCCACTCCTCCACTTGCACCTGCTGGATGACCCTGGGCAGGCCATAGTTCTGGCACAGCTGTTCATGAAAAAGAGCCATTTCTGTCAGAGCTCTCTCAGCCCTATCTACCTCACAGGGTGTCTATTGTGGGGAGGGGAAGGGAACGGAGATTGTAAGCCACCCTATGACTCCTTTGGTGTAGTGGTTAAGTGTGCGGACTCTAATCTGGGAGAACCGGGTTTGATTCCCCACTCCTCCATTTGCACCTGCTGGATGACCTTGGGCAAGCCATAGTTCTGTCACAGGGTGTCTGTTGTGGGGAGGGGAAGGGAAAGGAGTTTGTAAGCCGCTCTGAGACTCCAAGTGAAGGGCGGGGTATAAATCCAATCTCTTCTTCTTCTTCTTCTTCTACCTCACAGGGTGTCTGTTGTGGGGAGGGGAAGGGAGAGGAGTTGAAAGCCGCTCTGAGACACCTTTGGGTAGTGAAGGGCGGGATATAAATCCAATCTCCTCTTCTCTTCTAAATACAAACATTATTTTCTACAACTATATACTATGAGTAAATATAATTAAGTTTCTACCTTATTGGGTTATATGAACTTTGTTTTCTTGGACTCTGTCATTTATTTATTTCTACCTTTATATAGTTATTATACCAGCTATAAAATCGTGACCAAGTATTCTGGAATGCAGAGTCCGAGCGTCCCTTCATCACTAAAGTCAGTTTGTCCATTTCAGCTGCCTCCAAAAGCTTTGTTTAAAAATTCTCGTTTCGTATGTGTCTCAGATGTCTTCCAGTATGTAGCATATAAAAGTCTAGCAGAAGTAGTCAAATATATAATAAGGTAACGGTCATCCTTACTAAAATCTTTCGGCAAAAGATTTAATAATGACACTTCAGGTGTAAATGGAATGGCCGTACCTAGCACTTTTTGCAAAGTCAGTATTGTCTACCCAGACTGGCAGCAGCTCTCCAGGGTCTCAGGCGGAGGTCTCCCACGTCACCGATTCCCTGGTCCTTTTAAACCGGAGATGCGGAGGGTTGAACCTGAGATCTTCTGTATGCCAAGCAGAGGCTGTACCACTGAACCACCGATGAGGGGAGTGGATGAGGAGGAGCTTTTCTCCCCCTCCCATAATGCTGGAACCCGGGTGTTATGTACGCGGACCGCCACCAGGGGTCCGCGGCTACAGTCAGGATAGATTTTTCGCCCTCTCCCCAGAATACTAGAACTTGAGGGCATCCAATGAAGCCGATAGGCAGTAGGTTCAGGACGGACAAAGGGAAAGACTTCTTTACACAGAGAATGATTAAAAAGTGGAATTGTCTGCCTGAGGGTATAGTGATGGGCACAGGAACAAACAGTTTGAAAAGGGGTTAGATAGATTCGTGGCTCCGAGCCATGGTGACTGAACTTCTACATTCAGCAGCACTAGTCCGTGGAATCCCGGAGCCAGGAGGCAACAGAAGGAGAAGACCTCGGCCTCTGTGCCCTGTTGTTGGCCGTCCAGAGGAACTGGCTGGCCACTGTGTAAGACAGGATGCTGGACTAGATGGACCACTGGGCTGATCCAGCAGGGCTCTTCTGATGTTCTTATGAAGGCCTCAGCCTCTCTGCCCTGCTGTTGGCCCTCCAGAGGAACTGGCTGGCCACTGTGTAAGACAGGATGCTGGACTAGATGGACCACTGGGCTGATCCAGCAGGGCTCTTCTGATGTTCTTATGAAGGCCTCAGCCTCTCTGCCCTGCTGTTGGCCCTCCAGAGGAACTGGCTGGCCACTGTGTAAGACAGGATGCTGGACTAGATGGACCACTGGGCTGATCCAGCAGGGCTCTTCTGATGTTCTTATGAAGGCCTCAGCCTCTCTGCCCTGCTGTTGGCCCTCCAGAGGAACTGGCTGGCCACTGTGTGAGTGAGGATGCTGGACTGGGTGGACCACTGGTGTGATCCAGCAGGGTTCTCCGTGTGTTCTTATCTATACCACTGAGCCATAGCCCCTCACTGGGCACGCATGGCTTGCCTCTATATGTTCAAAGACGTGTAGGCGATGAGTAGCGAAGGATCATTTGGCTTCTCTTGGGGAGGGCGGCCAGAGGTGGGGACCAGAGACCGGGGGCATCAGCCTTGTGCAGTGCCCCTCCTGGATCCACCTCTACTCTCATGGAAAGATGGTCTGTCGTATACAGAACCAGCTTGAATAGGTGTGTGCTGCCACACGGCTGCTAAAAGACCAGCAGCCACATTCCGCACCCATCAAAGCGTCCCAGTTATCTTCATGGGCAGCCCCACGTAGAGGCAACGATGGAACTTAAGCCCGGAAATCCCCCACAGCAGATATTACCTAGCAAGGTCAGACAGTCTAGATAGGACGAGATGAAAGGAGGCCCTCCTAGGAAGAACACCACCATTTAAAAATAATAATAATGCAGATCTGTGCATGACAAACGTGAATGCCTCAGGCCTCTTGGGGTGTTTTTTTTTTTTTTGGTTTTTTAAAGGACTCGATTGTTTCGCACACTTAAGCTCAGCCTTTCTCTGCATGTCGATTTGTTTTCAGTGGAAGCCGCAGGCCCGGCGGGGCTTCAGCTGTTTGTCAGCGCCGGCGTGCCCGTCGACTCCGAAGCGATCCGGCATCTCGTGAACGAAGCCCTCGCCGAGACGGTGGCAGTCATGCTGGGAGACAGAGAAGGCCAGAAACCGGCTTCTGCGGCAGGGGCGCCTTCCCACCTGACCCTCCTGCCCTCCAAGGTGCGGGTGTTCTTTCAATTCAATTCAATTCATTTAATTTATTTATTTAGCTCACATGAGCAGTGGTCTCAAGCACGCTCACAGAATACAACAGACATGTAAAATATACCAATGTAAGAGTTTAAAACTGTTAACATTTCACATCCGGTTAAAATATAAACTGTGTAAAGGTTTAAAATATAAACCTATAAGACATTGCAGTCATAAAATTGAAAAAACTGAAAACAATTAGAACCAAAAAGTGCCCACCTCCCCTTAGCAGCAGTTATTTACGCTTCAGTGCTATTATAATAGCTAAGTATTTTGCTACTGAAGTGGTGATGGTCGGGTCAGAATCTGTCAGCAGATAAGGGACCACCCATGGTCTCTTTATCTCTTTATTTAGAGAAAATTGGATATACCCAATATGACCTAAGAGCTAACCAATGAGAACAGAACAAAAGGAGACGTGTCAGCGTCTCAGTCTCGCCAGAAGCGCAGGTACAAAGCCTGTCTGAATACGGAGTTCGTGAGAAACATCCCTTTAATTCTGCAGATGGTACCGCATTTAATCTTGCAAGAGTAAAAGCAAAGCTATGAGAGGGGGTGGTAAGATGGTGGGTGTTCTTTCTGTGCTGCGGCCGGCGCTATCACCAAATAAGGAAGGAAGGAAGGAAGAGCCCTGACCTGGATAGCCCAGGCGAGCCCGATCTCATCAGATCTTGGGAGCTAAGCAGGGCCGACCCTGGCAAGGACTTGGAAGGGTGACCTCCAAAGGAATACCAGGGCCCGGATGCAGAGGCAGGCAACAGCAAGTCACCTCTTTGAAACGTGGAAGCCCCACGGGGTTGCCAGAAATCACCATGGCTTCCGGGTTTGCAAGCACACAAACACACAATACACCAAAGAAGGAAGGAAGGGGGGGAGGAAGGGAGGGACAGAGAGAAAGAAAGGGAGGAAGGAAAGAAGGAAGAGCG